AGTTATATATAGTAGATTAGAAGTTTTTATACTTACTAGTTCAAAAACTTAATTATAAAAGTATATCAACATCAATTGAAGTTCAATATAATTAAATAACTTTCAAATTATTGTAAGGATTAAGCTAAATCTTATTACTACTTAATTGATTATATGTTTTTAGTCTTTCTAATTAATAGTAGGTAGGTAATAGTATATTAATATCATGAGACAAATACCTATCCTTTAGACTGTATAGCAGACAATTTTGTTATAAAATTTAATTTTTTTTATAATCATTTTGTAAGAATGATTTTTTTATTATTTTTAAAAAATGATGTATAATCATAAAAATTAGCTATTATATTATTATTTTTTTTATAAAACCTTTTAATTTTAATAATATAAATAATTTTTTAGTATTTTTATCAATAAAAATTTTTAATTTTAATTTTTGAAATATATTTTGTTATATATATATATAATTCAAACTATTTTATCAAAGTATATATAATTATTATATAGATTTTCATTTATAAGTATTAGAATTACTTTTAATATGATATTTTATCATTTTTTTTTTAGATAATTATAGTAAAAAAAAGTAAATTTATATTATATTATCTTTATTTAAGTTTAAATTTTATATTACTTATTTATTTTATTATATAAACTTTTTGACATTTAAAAATACTGTAACTATTTATTTAATTTATTTTCAATTTAGAAAAGTATTTAATGTAAAGTAGAATTATGTAATTTATAATTTTTGGATTTTTTAGTAATGTTAAAAAATTTATTATCTTTTTAGATTATATAGATTTATAGACAAATTTGCTTGCTTATTTTAAATGATAAAAATGTTGTAATTTATTTTTTTAATTATATAATAAAAATTTTTTATTAGAAAATTTTATAACAACCTTATTAAAATTTAATTAATTATATTAATCATAATATAATATTATATAAAGAAAACCTTTTATTATTATAATTTTAAGATAAGAAACTTTATGACTTTTATTAATAATAAATTGATTCAATTGATATGCAAACATATAAATGTTTCAAAAAATTATTATAAAAAATTTTTAATACTTAATTTAAACTATGTTTTTTATATAATAATGATATTACTAAAATAATTATTTAATATTTATAAAGAAAGAAATTAATACTTTTTTTTAAGTTTGCAGGCAAATTTGCCTGCTAGATAATCTAAGGATATATGTTATCACGTGACATCCTCTAATTTTGGAAATTAAATCGAAAATGAGTTAAGGCATATAAAAAGGGTACACTAGCTAAATTGTGTTTAGATGTTCTTTAATTTCATTAAAAATACAAGGGAGAATTTTGGCTTTCGATTTTGAATTTGCCATTGCTAATTGTCATATATATAATGTAAAAAGGCATAAATTTTAGTCTAAAAATAATATTAATTTGAGAAAGAAATGCTTTGTGAAGCCCCATGGATCCGCGTGTATTTTGAAAATTACATACTTTGGAGAATACAAAATTTTCTAGGTTCGATCGAACTGTAATAGACATAATAATTAAAAAAAACCTCAAATATTTGCAATTTTCAGAATTAAGTGATTGGCATCTATTGCAGGCAAATTTAAAAGGATAATACAGGCTCAAAATTACTCAAGATCCAAATAAATGCGGCTAAATAGAGATAGCCTTTAATAAATTTTTTATTAAAATTCTTTTTAAATGTACAAAATTTTTTTAATTATTAAAAAATTTTATTTGATAGAGACAAAAAAAAGAAATGAATCATCGGATATTAAATCACGCGAGATAAAAAAAAAATCCGATTTAAAATCTGTCAAAGCTGACGTATCACATGTTCATGCATAATTATTTACTTTGATGCAGTGCACTAGAGATTTAATTAAACTATTACGAAATTAGAAGATCTAATTATTACTTTTACGACATCCATCACATCCATCTGGGGAGATTATTTAAAAATGCCATAAACAAATCTGAAAATGGGATTTTGGAGATTCAGAGTTAGTAACCCAATTAAGATAAGAGCTTGTAGTTTTTATATTATACTTTTTTTTTCGTGATTATCTATATTTTCTACTTTACCATATTTAGCGAATAAATAATAAATGCTTTGGTTAACTATATATAAATCAGTGACTGGTATAAATAAACATTTGATCTATCAATTAATATTAACCCTTGATTATAAAAGAAGATATAAATATTTATTTATTTATCACAATGACAAATATAAGATTTTAGTGATCCAACAATTAACTTTATTCATAACCTTTTCATACAACTTTCAAATATCATTACACATTGACGATCCTTCGAACGCGAGTTCTACAAATAACAATTTAACTTCAAAAACTTATGATTTTGCGGCTCTTGCGAACGCTCTGATTCACAATTAATCTTTGCAACTACAACAAAAAAAAACAACGATTACAATAAGATGTTTCAAAGGAATGTAAAATTGAATCGAAATTTGATTAATATTATTGGTGCCAAAAACTTGTTTATTTGGGTTAAATAACATATTTCAACCCGTGAAAATAATCAAGAATCTAAAAATATATAAAAATATGTATATACTGTTATTGGTGAAAAGCCAAATCTTGGCATATAAATAAAGATTTCTTTATTGCGCCGTGTAATATTGTTTCACCAATTACCAAAGAAGTTTTTATTTTATTGATTGTTCTTTGTTAATAATCAGGTTATAATACACCCCAAAACTTATTAGATACTGTTTTAAAAAATCAGAGATTAGCTAATTTTTTTATGCAACATTACTGTGTCGTACAACGCGCTACGCATAACCTTATAATTTGACATGCTAACAATTAGAGGTAAGTTAGATTATTTTGGGTTAAAAGAAATCTACTTTATAATAATAATAAAAAAAGATTCCTTAAAGTCTGTGTGATTAAAGGTCTTTTATCACAATCCAAAAAAAAAAACTTTCAATGACAAATGGAAATCATCAGATTTAGGAAACATTAATCTCGTAAAATCCTACAAAATATGTACTTCTCTTACTCAAGTATTATGAATATCTACCTTGGATGCTATGACCGCACACATCTTTCAGGACCTGACTGTTTAAATAAGGTACACGTATTTCTTCCGAAAAATACCTTGCCTAGTTTGAGCAAAACGGGTCATTCACTTTGAAAGACATTGCACAAGATGATAAGCTGATTACTCCAAAGATCTCTTGGAAATGGTTAACTAATATATCATTTATAGCGTCATATCAATTATGATTTTTAGCCAATCGATAACTTATCAAATGTTTAAATATTTCCATGCAAAATAAAAAGAATTGGTTAGGGTAAATTTGTTCCAAGATATAAATATGCCCGAATTTTTCTTTTGTCTCATATTATTTGAATGAATAATTTCTTTAAAAAATATTGCTTTCCAAGTAATTTGGATCTTAAAGAATAAACTACATTATTTCTGACATTTTAGTAACGCTTTTATAATACATGAACTTTTTGAATTTTTTTTTTAAAAAAAAAGGACTCCATATAATCCGCCGCAGCAAATCCGAGTGATGATCCTAAAATTTATCATTGTTGTGACGTTACCTTTATGTTACTAGAATGAGAATAACGTTCATTGTACAAAATTGCAAAATTGTATAATATTTATCGATTCCAACGATACCAATATATTCTTCAGTAAGGAGATGAACGTTCGTTAAAATTTTCTTTATTCCGTTCTATATATATAGGAAACTTTCATCTAATCTTACCAGTCTTTTTATTATTTCATGAAAATGACTAAAGGATTCTTGTTGAAATTTCACTAGATTCAGAAATTAAAAAATCAATCAAAATAAGTTTACCAGACGGGATTGACAGGGAAAGACGGAATAGACAGAGTCAGATTTTTTGTTAGTCGGTCTTTCGATCCGGGTATATGATCGACAGAAACCTTCGGAAGTTTTTTACATTATCTCCTTTATCAATGAAATCAAATCTATTAGGAAGGCGCTAACAATCATTATGATACTATTGGATCGACAATGAAATATATAAATTTAGAAACTTCCTAAACGACCTTCATTTAAAATAAAATCGTTTTTTTATTGATGAACTTTATTTGTGTTGGGGAAATTAAAAAAAAAAATTTCGATTATCTTTATTTTGAAGATTGTTAACGTCCAGTCACAATAATTTGAATAATTTGCATGCGATCCTTGAAATCTTTACCTTTTGTAAGCGTACACAGCTAACTTTGTTTAGGAACCTCATCGCATCATTGCGCCAGAAAAATAAGAGAACTGTGTGAATTGTTTCTATGAACAATGATAAATAAAATAAACAAACACAGCCCCCGATTGTTCTTTACCATCACCTTCCATTTTTACAGTAGATCTGCATAATGTGAGAAATCATCTAAAAATAGTTTATTTATTATTTGGGTCATGGACTAGCAAAATGCCCCTCCGAGCCTTTTGTCAAAAATATTTTTTTTATGATTTTATATAAGCTGAATATGCTTAACTATATGATAATCTAATTTTTTTGAACATAAACGTATAATAAATTATCGAAATATTCATATAAAACTTTTCATTTTGCATTTTGTTCTCAAAAAAGCGATAATTTTCCGGAGGTATGGTTGGTAATCTGAAAAAAAAACATCCGGAAAACGTGCATATGCGTGTTAAATATTTGTAAAAAACATGATTCAAAAGTCATTTATCCTTAAAGGATCGATCGTCACTGATATTTATAGTTAAAATTATTTACTTTATTTACTAGAAAAATTTGTGATGTAACTTTAAATTAGAAGAAAATAAAAAAAAAATAAAAAAGTAATTACAAAAAGTTTTATTACAAATGATTATAATAATTAATAATATAAATAATAATAATAAAAAAATCTAGATGATTCAAATAATAAAATTTACTTTTTTTTTTAAAAAAAAAAAAAAAGGAATGAAATGAAATAGAAATTGTTAAATTGAATGTTTTTTGAGATTTTTTTTCTGGTTTGATTTTTTAAAAAGTGGGAACCGAGAGTTTAAAATTTAAGAATTTGGTAGGTCCGACTATTAATGCTGCAAATAACAGTAACATTAAGAAAAATAATGTTCCATAAGTCCATAAAATACGATTTCTTTCTTTTTGTTGTTGTGGTGTAAAAATTGGTGGCCTGATTTGTTTGCTTGGTTTCAACCAGAATAACATGGTAGAATGTATCTTATCAATTCGTGGTATTAAACAAAATGGTACCAACAAAAAGAGTAATACGTGTCCTAATATAAAATCTGTTGCAAAAAGTGACATTTCAACTATTTTACATATGTATTCCCGGAATGGTTGAGTTGCGATTGATGATCCAAGTCCTCTCCCGAGCCATTTTCCTGTCCACCATGCTAGATTTGTTTCATCATGCTTAAATTCTCGTGTCAAAAATAATGTGATCATCACTTTAAATACAAAATTTTGTATGGCCGCTAAACAAATCATACCCAATACTGCGTTCGCTAACTTCCCTTCCAAAATCCATAAAAGTTCGAAAGCTCCAATCAAGTTGATGATCGCCCAAGTATGTGCTATGACGGCGATCGAGGATCCAAATTTTTTAAACCTAAGTATAGGTTGTAAAAAGAAGGAAACGATAAAAAGTACGGCCAACATTACCGCATTCATCAACATGGGTCCAATCGCGATAGCACATACGACAATTACACCACTCGTCTTTTTCGCATTTGGTTCACGACTTTTTACAAACATGAAAGCTATAATACAAAGAGTTGCCGATAATAATTGAATGAGAACTTCTGACACAAAGATGACGCTAAGACTGGGACGTGGAACATCTGTAACTATATTCTCGGAAGCATGTCCCAATCGTTTTCGTTTATAACCAGTAATCCTCGTCCTTGAAAACCGACAATAACCAATCCAAGATTTGGCATGAGATTGTGAATTCCCACGCGACATCCATCTCAAGAATTCCCGATAATCAATTATAAATTCGGTTAAAGCAAATTGATGTGGATTGAATAAAAATGGTGAAACACAAAGTGCGATTACTGAAGCCCAAAGGTAGGTCAAATGTGGTAGCCACGAAGTAATGGAAACAAAAGTTAACATCAATAACAACTTCATTCCAACGTAAATTCCTGGTCCAGCGAAAGTTGAATATAGTTCATAAAATTTAAGACGCGTTGTAGCGAACCCACGACCTGTAGCGATATAACGAGCACCACCGAAACGAAGATTTGTTATAAGACTATCAGCATATATTTTGGTGGTGAAGACTTCAAAAAATGGTGACAATGACATGAAATGCCTGCAAAGACAAATAAAGCTACGTAGGAAATTTTTTTCTATCAATTCCTGGAAGAATAATGGTAAGAAAGTGACAAAGAGTACAATGACGATCGAAATGATCGAACGTTTAATCCAATCAGTTATAGGATCAAAATCATAACAGGGATCTTCTTGTTCTTCAAGACTTTTGTCACAAATTTCTTCCTTTATGCCAGCCTTCATCGCACCAACGAATACCATACAAAGGACGAAAAGTTGAATTGATAACATGATGAACGTATTGTTGATATGAAACCCAGGATGAGCGTAATAAAAGGTCAAGAATCTATCCAAATCGAGTTGCGTTCCAATATAATAATATTCCCTTGATAACATTTGCTCTCCCATACCAGTGCCAATCTTTGTCGTGAAATTAAGAATTGAACCAAAACCAAGATCACGTCCTTTACCACATTGAATATATTCTGAATGTTTTATACGACCACCACGAATAAATGCATTCATACCGGCGTAAATATCTTCATTAAGATGTAATCCTTTTTGTGCCTTGGATATACCACCACGCGTTGTCATGAAAATGCCATTCAAGAAATCCGGATGACCATAATGTAATCTGCCCCCTACTTTAGCAACGATACGTTGAGTTAATGTACCAAAAGTTTGTTCTTTCCTTGCCGCCACGTCTCCAAGGGCACCACAATTCTCGGAGAAGATATACTCACGAGCCCCAACGATAGCAATAGGACTTTCAGTTAATTGTTCAGCAGTTGATGAATAAGGTTTCCTTGGCATGTCATATTGTTCAAATTCTGAAAGAACATTCCTAATCTTGATACATTCCTCAAGATAATGGTCTTGATTCGCGTCAATTAATTGAAGATATTCACCACGATAAAAGATGATTGCATGATTTTGATTATCGGATTTACCATCTCCAAGAATTGGATTACCGGGAAGTTGAATTCGAAATTTAGGCTTACGTTTCCCATCTGGCAATAATTCACAGTGACCGTCAATTAAGACGGAAAAGACTGTGGGTTCATCTCCTTCTTGTTCTGGTGGCACTTCATCGATATAAGCAATTAGGAGGTCCGGATAAACATTTAATAAGAAATCCGCTTCTTCCTGTTCCTCCTTTGTAAATTCATTATACCTTTGCATGGAAACTATGAATTTAAATTTACGACGGGCCATTAATTCCATCTCATTTTCAAATTCCTCTGGATGATCAGCATATGAATTAAATATGTCAGGATTTTCGACACTGTATAAAAGTTTGATGGCTTCCGAATAATTCATGAATCCCGAAATGGTACGGTATAATGTTTGTGAACGAAGAGAAGCCCATATACGTGTACGTAAAGTATATTCAGGTGAAGAAGATTTGAATCCAACCATGTCAACTACTAGGTCATCAGCATTTTTCTCTTCACTCATGTTGTCCTCTTCATCTTCCTTTTCCGAATTATATCCTTCAGACATTTTGTTCTCCTCATCGGATAAGATCTTTGTATCTGTGATAAAGTTTTCCCATTCATCTGGATATAATTTTTTTAAATATTCTAATAAAGTATACCGAGTGTTTTGATCCTCTCCGCGAATAATTTCACGAAGTTTAAGGAGAATCGTTTCCGAAAAGTGAGGAGTTAGAACGGTAAATGTTGGCATGTTTTGAACAGGTAAAGGATTTGGAATGGAATTCGATAAACTTTGCGCAAAAAAAGTGATACGACGATCAGCTTCACTCATTGATGGATAACATTGCTTATCATTGCAATCCACAAAGAGGGTGGGAGGATTCGATATAACATCACCATTTGGCCCAAGAACCTATAAGATACGTTTAATAAGAATGTTAATTAAAAAAGTTTTTATAATCGTTTTAAAATTCAATAATAACCAACCTGTGTATAAGTTAATTTCCGAACGTTTTCGTATGAAAGTAGATTTTTATTATACATGGAATGAATAATGGCATTCCAAATTCGCGGCACAAGAACTATTGGTTGATATTGAACTTCCATATTGTTAGTAGCCAAGATTTTTGTGTAAATACGTTCCGGTATCATGGAAATAATGTTTTTCCAAGAGGAAAAAACCGAACTCCTAAGTGTGAGAGCATATGCCATTGAGAAAATTGTATTCCAAACCACATACCAAAGGTAAGTGTCCAAAAAGAAGAGCACAAGATCCAAAAAGCATACAAAAATGGTAATTAACAATGGCATGAGAGAACATAGTGAATTGCCAAAAAATCTATCATTACAATCAGGTATTCTCATTTTAAACATCGTTTCGACTGAATCTTTAAGATATAGAATCAAAAAAAAGTATGACTCTACGAATTTGGATGCAAAGATGCAACACCAAAGTCCGATTGATATTACACGATCTTTAATACTTAGAGAAGCGTAATTGGCAGTAAATGTGTTAAGTGCCTTATATTTTGAAGAACCTTTTGACGGTCCACCAAATAAACGAGCGCTTGGAGCTATAGAAAATACTATTGTGGTAAAACATGAAATAATGAGTTGAATGATTGCTATTATAAGGGACGTTGAACCTCTACGAGACATCATTACTATGTAATAAGTTGGTGCAGCGTTCATGATTAAAATAATAAATAAAAATGCGAATCGTCGAAGCAACATTTTTGTATTTTCTTTAGTTAATGGAATGAAAAAAAATTCGCAGATATTTGCAAATATCATAAAAAATGCCGAAATAGCGCCTCCAAAAGCAACAACAGACATATGTACCGCCGGCTCTTCCACGTCTTCGCTTGTATATATTAATGGTGCACTATAAGCTACGTAATACCAAAAGACTGAAACGTGAATAATCCATATCCGCGTGAAGTTAACTATTAAATGGAGCCATGTACGCTTTTCTTTGTATGTTTTGACAAAGACACGATCCCAATTCACTTGATCAAGGCTTAAATATCGTTGACTACGAGGTAAAGATATAATACTAGTCCCATTTTGTAAGACTATGCGATTTATCATTTCCGGATACCAAAAAAGTTCGTTGATATCATCATATCCTATTGTGTCAACGTGGTCTTTTTCTTTCTTAACGAATTTCCCTGATTGAACTTCATAACCTTGATCACGAATGTAACGATAAAGAGGTGTTATAACATTTTTAAGATATTCCCCTTCAGGTACGGGTTGCGTATTTTCCTTACATTCGGGACTATTATAATAATCATTTGCTAATTTAAAGATGAAGCATAAACATTCGCTCATAAAACGAACTTGTGCTGCTTCGCCCCATAACAAAAGCCATAAGGCCAATTGACGTGTCCTGTCATGTTGTGACATGGCACTCATTCGTCGATTCCATTCAAGTATATAATTTTCTGTTTCGGGAAGTCCGTCATCCACATCCATCTTTGCGGTAAAATACCATTTACGATAATTAGCATTTACTCCACCAATATAATCAGCATGTAGGCTTAATAAAGCTTGAGATGGTGTCATCCTTGAGGCACGAGAATCCAACATAACCATTAAGTGATCAAGCATATTTTTCATATTTTCTTTTTGAAAACCAAATTTATTTGTAAGATCAGTGAAAATTTCTTCAATCTCGTCTTTCGAAACGGGAACTTTACCATTATTGGAACTCCAAGATGTATGCGAAGGTTGATAGGTTCTTGAAGTATTTATATGATTATATCCAAAGCTATAATTATTAAAGCTCGCATTATGGTAATTATTGTTAATGTTATGGTTATTATAATTATCATTATCAAATTCTTTAATTTCTTCTTCTTCTTCAACTGATACATCATACTTTGCCGAGGATTCTTTGGAAGGAGCAAAACCAGCTTCATAACCGAAACCTTCTATATTCTCAACACCACGATCTTGTGAGTTTGATGAAGTGGCACTGTCATTTCCAAAATCAACCGTACTTGAATTTCGAGAATTTTGTGAAGATTGATTGTAAAAAGGTCTCGGGGGGAATTGCAGCTGCTCACCAGATCCTCGTTGTGGAACCGTTCTATACAAGTTATTATTTTGTGGTAATGGATTGGCCGGAGCACGATAAAGGGAATTATATGGTAATTTTGAAGGTGATGGTGGACATTGTGGGTACGTTGCAAATGGTCTCGAAGGTGATGGCGGACATTGTGGATAAGTAGCCAACGGTCTTGAAGGTGATGGTGGACCTTGTTGTTTTTGATATTGATATTGAAATGGAAATTGATTTTGAGAACCTGTTGTCATATGTGGAGTATTTGGACGAGATGGACGAGGACTCTGTGATGTGCGTGGTAATCCATGTTTTCCACCATAAGCTGGTGAAGGTTGGTTTGGATAAACATTTAATTTCGGAAGACTAGGTTTTTTATTTTTGCTATTAGATTGATCATCTGCCATATGATTATTTTTGTTTTGAATTTTTTTTAATTTTGATGTAAAAAAAAAAAAAATGATCAATTCTTCCTCCTTTAAATTCTTTTTTTTTTTTCCTTTTTTTTTTTTTTTTTCTCAATACATTTCTTAATTTTATTTCGTTGTTGCTTTTATGTAAGACACAAAAAAAAAAAAAAAAATACAACTGTAAAAATTACAAAAGAACCGGTTAAATATGCATAAATCACAATATAAACAAATACTAATTGAAATAAATACAGTTGAAAAATTTTTAGTATGAAGTTTATTTTTTTTTTATTCTCTTTTAATTTAGATTTGAGAACTTTTTAATCTCATTTAGATTACCTTATCTAACTTAACACTAATGAAAAACTTTCTGAATATAAAAAAAAAGATACGTGATAAGAGAGCCAAAAAAAAAGACAATATATACTGTGTTGCCTTATTATTAATAAACACAATTAAACTTTAAAAAAAAAAAAATAATGAAAAAAAGAAATTGGAAATTGAAGGATAAAACACAACAAATACGGTAACTAGAAATACGCCTCCTCTAATAGTTAACTGTTCAATTTTCTAACATACATATCTGAAATAAATGAATGAAATCATAGTTTCGCTTTTTATAATATGTAATATATAATATATATAGGTTTTCTAAAAAAAAAAAAAAATAAGAAATAAAAAATAAATAAATAGATGATGTGCTGTGTAATAAATAACATTGTGCCGTGCATCCTTCCATTGATATGAACCAAATAACGAGCGATCTTCGATCTTTGATTTCTTTAAAAAGTTTTTTTTTTTTATTAGAATCTTCATTTGTGGATAGATGTGAGAGGAATTAATATAAAGAAATATACCCGAAAAAATTGTGTTAGGCGAATTTCCTCATCGAGTTTTATGCAAGCAATAAAGTTTACACCAAGAATTTCTGAAAACTTTTGCAAATGAGTTACATTTAAGGACATTTCTCTCAATAAATACATAATCATTTAATTTACTCGAAACGATCCTTGCATGATATAACGATAATATCTTGAGTGTTTTCTTTCTTTCAAGGAAAAAAAAAATAATAATTATGAATAAAAATACTCATTTGTCCGGCACATCATTGATGATTTCTAAAATCAGCGATGCTCCTGAAATGGATATTTTTAATTAATAAATAAATTACTTATTAAGAAAAAGACAATTAAATAATATAAAAGTTTCAAACTAAGAAAATAAAAATATTACTAACATTTTTAAATTAAGGAATCAACAAATCGGTACTGTCTCATGATGGCCAGATTAGGTTTTATTTTTTTTTATTTTTTTTATTTAAGAATATGTCATTAATTCAAAATCGAACACAACTTAAAATAATATATCTATTTATAGTGATACATGCCTTGGTTATATATTTCCTTTAATTGGCTAGTAACTGATTACAATTCGCAGTTGAAACCTCGTTCTTTGTCTATTTTGACATCTTCCTTTGTTACACTTTTACCATTATACATCAATCATCGCCGATTCTGTCAAATCACTATTTACAGGGTTAGTTGTGACTTTTGCGAAGATTTTTTTTATTTTTATTTTTGACAAATAGAAAAATCGGGATCGATACATGTATGCTAAAAATGTTTTGAGATTAAAATGATAAAAAAGGTTTTACAAAAAAGTATTTTTATGGTTATCTTCGAAATGTCAATTTTAAATCCTATCTGGTTTGTCAATAATTACGCCTCATTTAAAATTTTTTCTACCCTTATAATAATATTTATTGGATTTTGTATTTTTACTTTTTGAAGCAGATGACTGACTTCTCCTGCTTCTTCTTCATCTTCAGTAAAAAGAAGTATTGCAGACATTGCAGGATCAAACCTGATCGGCAATTCCTAATTGAGATATTTTGATATTTTGCATGTCTAATTAATAACTCGAGGGCAATAGGTCAGTCATATAAATATAAATAAATATTTATAGCTTTTTTTTTTCAATTTGATTATAATTATATCTTGTTATTTTTTTTTAAAAAAAAATATATTATAAATTTAGATTGTAGGGGTTTGCAAGCACTTATTTACTATAATTTTCTTTTTATAAAACTTATTATTTATATGATTACATTATATATAAATTATTATTAAACATTATTTTATTATTTTAAATAAATTACAAACTTTTTAAATTGTAAATAAATTTAAAATAAAACTTAATTATTTATTTTTATTCTTATCAATATTATCAAAGATTCTATAATAGTAATTATTTTAAAATCTTTGTATTATTATTATTATTAGAAAATTTGTATTTTACGCATCATGCTTATAATGCACCCATGCGCAGTTTTTTTTGCGCATGTTAAAAAAATTATTAAATTTATTTTTAATGGATGTACAATCTGTGCCCATGCATGGTTTTTGATGCGCAGTCAAAATTTTCGTACGACCATTTAGATTATTAAACTTTTTTATTCCCACACTCTTTCTCTCCTTCGCTCACTCTTTTTTTACTTTCTTTTCCTTTTCATCAAATTTT